AATAATATTAAGTACTCTCTCAGACCACAGTGGAATAAAATTGGAAATCAACTCCAAAGGAACCCTCAAAACCATGCAAATACATGGAAATTAAATAACCTACTCCTGAATGATCACTGGGTCAACAATGATATCAAGATTAACATTCAAAAATTCTTTGAACAGAATGATAATAGTGACACAACCTATCAAAACCTCTGGGATACAGCAAAGGCAGTGCTAAAAGGAAAGTTCATAGCCATAAATGCCTACATCAAAACATCTGAAAGAGGACAAACAGCCAATCTGAAGTCACATCTCAAAGACCTAGAGAAACAAACGAACTCATACCCAGCAGAAGAAAAGAAATAACGAAGATCAGAGCAGAATTAAATGAAATTTAAACAAAAAAATGCAAAAGATAAATGAAAACCTAGTTATCTGAAAAGACAAATAAAATTGATAGACCATGAGCAAGATAAACCAAGAAAAGAAGAGAGAAGATTCAAATAAGCTCGATTACAAATGAAACAGGAGATATTATTACTGATACTACAGAAATAAAAAATATTATTCAATTCTAGTATGAACTCCTTCACACACATAAACTAGGAAACCTGAAGGAGATGGATGAATTCCTGGAAATATATAATCCTCCTAGATTAAACCAGGAAGAAACAGAAACTCTGAACAGACCACTAACAAGCAGCGAGATTGAAATGATAATAAAAAAACTTCCCAACAAAAATAATCCAGGACCAGATGAATTTATAGCTGAATTCTATCAGGCATTCAAAGAAGAATTGGGACCAATCCTATTGACACTATTCCACAGGATAGAGAAAGTGGGAATCCTCCCTAAATCACTCTATGAAGTCAGTGTCACCCTAATACCAAAATCAGGAAAGGATATAACAAAAAAAGAACACTACACACCAATATCCCTAATGAACATAGATGAAAAAATCCTCATAAAAATACCAGCTAACCGAATCCAAAAGCATATCAAAAAGATAATCCATCATGATCAAATGTGTTTGATACCAGGGATGCAGGGTTGATTTAACATATGCAAGCCAATAAATGTGATACAGCACATAAACAGAATTAAAAAGAAAATTCACATGATCATCTCAATAGATGCAGAAAAAGCATTGGACATAATCCAGCATTCTTTATGATTAAAACCCTCAGCAAAATAGGCATAGAAGGGACATAACTTAAAGTAATAAAAGCCATCTATGACAAACCCACAGCCAATGTTATACTGAATGGGGACAAGCTGAAAGCATTCCCCCTGAGAACTGGAACAAGACAAGGATGCCCACTTTCACCACTTCTATTCAATGTAGTACTGGAAGTCCTAGTCAGAGCAATCACACAGGAAAAAAAAATAAAGGGCATCCAAATTGGTAAAGAGGAAGTCAAACTGTCACTATTTGCTGATGATATGATTGTATACCTAGAAACCCCTAAAGACTCATCCAAAGAAACTCTTACAACTAGTAAATAAATTCAGCAAGGTTTCAGGACACAAAATTAATGTACACAAACAGTAGCTGTGCTATACACCAAGAGCAACCAAATGGAGAATCAAATCAAGAGCTCAACTCCTTTTATAATAGCTGCAAAAAAAAAAAAAAAAAAAAGGAATATATCTAAATACGGAGGTGAAAGATCTCTACAAGGAAAAGTAAAAAACACTGCTGAAAAAAATCATAGATGACACAAACAAATGGAAACACATCCCATGCTCATGGATGGGCAGAATCAATATTGTGAAAATTACCATATTGTCAAAAGCAATATACAATTTCAATGGAATTCCATCAAAATACCACCATCATTCTTCACATAAATAGAAAAAAAAATCCTAAAATTCACAGGGAACCAAAAAGAAACCCACATAGCCAAAGCAATTACTAAGCAAAAAGAACAAACCTGGAGGCATCACATTACCTAACTTCAAACTATCCTATAAGGCCATAGACACCAAAACAGAATGATACTTGTATAAAAATCGGAACATGAATGAAACAGAATCAACAACCCAGAAATAAAGCCAAACACTTACAGCCAACTGATCTTTGACAAAGCAAACAAACAAACAAACAAAACATAACGAGGGGAAAGGACACCATATTCAACAAATGGTGCAGGGATAATTAGCAAGCCACATGTTGAAGAATGAAACTGGATCCTCATCTCTCCCCTCAAGCAAAAATCAACTCAAGGTGGATCAAAGACTTAAATCTAAGACCTGGAACCATAATGATTCTAGAATATATGATCAGAAAACCCTTTCTAAACATTGGCTTAGGCAAAGACTTCATGACCAAGAACCAAAAAGCAAATGCAACAAAAACAAAGATAAACAGATGGGACTTAATTAAACTAAAAAGCTTCTGCACAGCTGAATAAGCAATCAGCAGAGTTAACACCCAACCCACAGAGTAAGAGAAAATCTTCACAATCTATACATCTGACATAAGACTAAGATCCAGAATCTACAAAGAACTCAAACAAATCAGCAGGAAAGAAACAACAAATACCATCAAAACGTGGGCTAAGGACATGAATAGACAATTCTCAAAAGAAGACAGACAAATGACTAACAAGCATATGAAAAATGCTCAACATCACTAACTATCAGGGGAATGCAAATCAAAATACAATGTGGTACCACTTCACTCCTGCAAGAATGGCCATAATCAAAAAAATCAAAATAATACATGTTGGCACGGATGTGGTAAAAAGGGAACACTTTTACACTATTGGTGGGAATGTAAACTAGTACAACCACTATAGAAAACGGTGTGGAGATTCCTTAAAGTACTAAAAGTAGATATACTGTTTGATCCAGCAATCCCACTACTAGGTATCTACTGAGAGGAAAAAAGTCATTATATGAAAAAGATATTTGCACACACATGTTTATAGCAGCATAATTTGCAATTGCAAAAATATGAAATCAGCCCAAATGCCCACCAATCAACAAGTGGATAAAGAAAATATGATATATATGTATGTATGTGTATATATACATATATATACACCATGAAATACTACTCAGCCACAAAAAGGAACTAAATAATGGCATTTGCAGCAACCTGGATGGAACTGAAGACTATTATTCTAAGTGAAGTAACTCAGGAATGAAAAACCAAACATTCTTATATTCTCACTCATAATTGTGAGTTAAGCTATTAACACACAAAGGCATAAGAATGATACAATGCATTTTAAGTATGATACAATTAATTTTGGGGACTTCGGGAGAAAGGCTGGGAGGGGAGTGAGGGATAAAAGATTACACATTGGGTACTGTGTACACTGCTTGGGTGATGGGTACACAAAAATCTCAGAAATCACCACTAAAGAACTTATTCATGTAACCAAGCATCACTTGTTCCCCAAAACCCTATTGAAATAAAAAATAAAATTCAAAAAAGAGACATTACTATAAAGTGTAGAAAAATATTTCATTAATTACTGATAAGAGCATTCTCTTCTATCGCTTCTCGGCCTTTTGGCTAAGATCAAGTGTGGAGCATTCTCTTCTAATAGAATATAAGGATTAAAATACTTTTACAAAAGAATTCTATTTATTTTAGCAAGTTATTGTAAAAAAAATTGTTAAATGTTAGTTCTTTCCAAATTATTTTATAAATGCAACATAAAGTCAATTAAAATTCCAGTGAGAAATTGTAGACACAATGCTTTACAGTTCTTTCTTTACAGCCACAGAACAGTGTTTAATCGATTTTTATGTGCCATATTCATTGCTGCAAAACTAGTGTCGAGAACATCTAACCACTCGTAAAAATAAATATCTCTCTGGATCAGAAACTGAACAGAAAGCTGGAGGTCGGGTCTCAACCTGTTGGCTGGTGGGTGCTGGGTTTAAATTCATAAATACAGCTGTGAATTTGACTACCCATCAAGTTACAATGAGTTTGCTGTAGTGGGAAGAAAGATAGATGCCTGGGGCCTTGTAACAGAGTACTAAAAACAGAATGGGATATGAGGACATCCATATAAAGGAGGCACAGCACAGGAGTGGTGTGTGGAGAACGAATCGCCAGAAACTGGCTGGGAAATTAAAGATCTACGATTTTAGTTTGTGATATTGAGCCCAGTTTGCTGTTAGGGTAAACTTGACAGCACACAAATCAAAGAGCAAATTGAGCACAGAGAGGTTTAGAGCAGGGGATTACTTCTTGCAGTGGAGAGAAAAATCATTAACATTAGTCCTGATCAGAGCAGGGGAAAAGGGAAGACATGCTACCATACAGGTGCAGAAAGGGGCATGAAGGCACCATGCCCTGAATGTTCCCAACCAAGCGCACAGTTTAGAAGGAGGTGAAGAATCCCTGTGAAACGGGACTGAGGTAAGAGTGACATACAGGAGTGCATGAGTGCATGTTACCCACAGAGGCTGTAGGGGTCATCTGGCCTCAGGCAGCCTCTGAGTGTGCAGGGTGTCCAGGGACCTCACGTATGTTAGAGCAAGGGGAATAAACATCTTGCCTACTCCTCTAGAGGCGGCTTTCTTGGTTTTTAATGTGTTCACTGCCCCACCCTGAAGGAGTCATGATCACCTGAAAGGGGAAGTCTGGGTGGTAAAAGGAGGGAAACCATCTGGCCACTTAGGCTGATGGGAACATCTGAAGCTTTATCCAGAGGATAATAAAGAAGAACCATCCCTTTGTCATTTCCTGCTCCCCTTAGTTCCATGTGCAGAGAGGAGCTGGGCACTTCCAATCCACTCTGATACGTCCCAGGGAGGTCTGCCTTTGGCTGCTCTGTGATAAGACCTCCTTGACCCTTTACTCCAGCTGGAAGTACTGAGCTCAGTTCATTCATATTTGGAAACTTTTCCCCCCTTCAAAGAAATTGGAAGGTAAATTTGGAGGAAAATGATGTTTTCAAATTTTATTCCACAGGACTGAGGGAATGCTGGGGGTTCTCTGGGCTTGTTATCTCTTTAAGCAGCAAACGTGATGAAATCTGGATCTTACCCCATGGGAGTCCTGATGATAGCATGTCCTGAAGTTGGAGAAACTTCACCATTCAGCATTTTGAAAGTCGTGCTCTTCCCAGCTCCATTCACCCCTAGAAGTCCAAAGCACTAAGAGGAAATAAAGTTAAGTAAAGCACACTCAATCAAACAAGCTAAATAAATAGAACAAGTTAAATAAAATCAAAATTATATTAGAAACAGCACTTGCGGCCGGGCACGGTGGCTCAAGCCTGTAATCCCAGCACTTTGGGAGGCCGGTATTTTGCCTTTTAGCCAACCTCTGGGTTGACTTTGTTGGTTTGTGTTAGTTTGTGGAGTTTTAAAATGACAATATTGTATTAAAACACTGGTATAGATTACAAGTCTCTCAAAATCATCAGATGGCCACTTAAGTGGTATAAGAATTTCCGCAGTAATTTACAGACAATAAATTCATGTGTTGCAAAACTGCAAGGGAGGATGAGAGTAAATGCCAACTATCCCAAATTATGCAGAGATAATTATATATTCTTTGGAAGTCACTCATTTTAATTATTACTCTCTGATTTCATTTTTGTATATTTTAAAGTTTTTTTTTTTTTTTTTTGAGATGGAGTCTTGCTCTGTCGCCCAGGCTGGATTTGCAGTGGCCAGATCTCAGCTCCTGCAAGCTCTGCCTCCTGAGTTCACGCCATTCTCCTGCCTCAGCCTCCCGAGTAGCTGGGACTACAGGACCCACCACCTCGCCCGGTAGTTTTTTGTAGCTTTTTTAGTAGAGACGGGTTTCACCGTGTTAGCCAGGATGTCTCGATCTACTGAACTCGTGATCCGCCGTCTGCGGCCTCCCAAAGTGCTGGGATTACAGGCTTGAGCCACCGCGCCCAGCCTAAAGTATTTTCTTAAAAGATTCCATCTTCTACTGTATATGCGCTGGTGTGT